ATCCAGCGAATATACTTTTTTTCCTATATTTTACATTAAACTCATCAAAAATCAGTGAAAATAAATTCCATACAAAATGCCCAAAAAGCCTTTTCAGCGAAAATTAATTCCAGCGAAAATAAAGTATTTCACAGTATTTTACAGTACATCATTTCCAAATTATAATCCCTGGTGGCACACTATAGAATGTATGATTGTGAGTTTTGCTAATGTTTGTAATTTTTGCAGTCGCATCTGAGTATTCTTTGTGTTTGTGATCAGTCTCAATTGATGTTATATATTTTTGATTTGATGTAATGTTGATGATTTTCACAAAACTTGTCTTTTAGACCACAGAGGAATGTTCAATGCTACAAGTTTGAGAATATTTATCCCTAGTGAAATGATATCTGTTTTACAATAACATGACAACCATATTTGAAAACACTTTTTTGGGGTATTGCTGATCAGTTAATTGTAATGTTTCTTCTTGTAGACAAATGATGAAACAGAGCGCCTTGCAGTGACAAAATTACTAGCCAGGATGTTTTCAGACAGAGAGTCTGACTTAGCTGTACAAAATAAACCATTATGGAATTGCTTCCTGGCCCGGTAAGTATTTTGTTATACTCTGAAACCAAACGACTCAATAATATTGTTCATGTTTGAGAGGTGTTCAGTGTTTGATTTTTGCCTTGCCAGTAGTGTCGTGTAAATGAAGGGGAAGGTATAGTAAGGGAAAGATTTGGGCAGCGTTGTTGTTGGCATGACTTGTGGGTGTGATAACTCAAGTAATTTTTACACAATCTTTTTCAAATTTATATATGTTATAAACAAACATGCCAAGTTCGATGTTGGTGTATTTTGCTTGCATAATTAATGAGAGATGCTGCTGATTGGTCATTGGGGACTGTGGTTAACCATTATATGATAGTGTTGTACTCGGTTAATAGTCCTCATTGTTCAGTGAGTTACGAACTAAGTGCAATATGTTTTGTAAAGTTGCTACTGTAGATGTACAATAAGATATATCCTAGCAATCACATAAAATAATTATACTATAAATTGCTGTAAAAGCATATTCAGTATTCTTCAGTGCAATCAGTTTTCTAAAATTATTACTGTACAATCAGTTATATCCTATTAAGTCACATAAGATAATTATACTATAAGTTGCTGTAAAGCATATTCAGTATTCTTCAGTGGAATCAGTTTTCTAAAGTTATTACTGTACAATCAGTTATATCCTATTAAAGTCACATAATATAATTATATTATAAGTTGCTGTAAAGCATATTCAGTATTCTTCAGTGCAATAAGTTTTCTAAAGTTATTACTGTACAATCAGTTATATCCTATTAAGTCACATAATATAATTATACTATAAGTTGCTGTAAAGCATATTCAGTATTCTTCAGTGCAATAAGTTTTCTAAAGTTATTACTGTACAATGGGTTATATCCTATTAAGTCACATAAGATAATTATACTATAAGTTGCTGTAAAGCATATTCAGTATTCTTCAGTGCAATAAGTTTTCTAAAGTTATTACTGTACAATCAGTTATATCCTATTAAAGTCACATAAGATAATTATACTATAAGTTGCTGTAAAGCATATTCAGTACTCTTCAGTGCAATAAGTTTTCTAAAGTTATTACTGTACAATGGGTTATATCCTATTAAAGTCACATAAGATAATTATACTATAAGTTGCTGTAAAGCATATTCAGTATTCTTCAGTGCAATAAGTTTTCTAAAGTTATTACTGTACAATCAGCTATATCCTATTAAGGGGTTAGCATACGTTCGCTGGTTCATTTTTTTTGGCCTCAATTTACAGATTGAAACATACATTTTAGGGAAGAGTAGGAAATCAAACGAGCGGTGCACCGCGGTCATTACCGCGGTGTACCGCAGAACGCCGGGGAGAGCCGCGGACTTATAATAAGGGGTCTCTACCGCTGTACCGGTCTCTACCGCGGTCCTCGGTAATGTGTGAAATACGTACTTAACAGTTTCTTTGTGATTCCACGAGTCATTGTTTTAAAATCCGATGCTGTAAATGAATACGATATGTGCACTTGTTTAGTATTTAGTACATGTATTTAGCGTAAATTTCCAAAGTGATGCGATACAATTTTTCATGGTACATGTATAGGTATACCTTTATTACACTGGAATAAAGTTTACAATTGAAAAGAGGACGATTTACAAAGTTTCAGCGTATCCAAGCCGTATCCTGGTTCTTGATTGATTTGCCAGTATTGTGTCACACTCCAGAAAAAATGGCCAGCAAACGAGAAACGGGCGAACTAATCAAAACAGGTCAGGCTGTCTGCATTGCATTGACAATGACATGATTATTTTCTGTTTCGATTCATAAATCTTGCCTTGCGCATGTATTCTTGGTTGACAGAATATTTTTT